CTTCCACACACCTACACTTGTACCCCACTAACATCTCCCACACATCTACACTTGTACCCCACTAACATCTTCCACACACCTACACTTGTACCCCACTAACATCTTCCACACACCTACACTTGTACCCCACTAACATCTTCCACACATCTACACTTGTACCCCACTAACATCTCTTATACATCTACACTTGTACCCCACTAACATCTTCCACACATCTACACTTGTACCCCACTAACATCTCTTATACACCTACACTTGTACCCCACTAACATCTTCCACACACCTACACTTGTACCCCACTAACATCTTCCACACACCTACACTTGTACCCCACTAACATCTTCCACACATCTACACTTGTACCCCACTAACATCTCCCACACATCTACACTTGTACCCCACTAACATCTTCCACACATCTACACTTGTACCCCACTAACATCTTCCACACATCTACACTTGTACCCCACTAACATCTCTTATACATCTACACTTGTACCCCACTAACATCTCCCACACATCTACACTTGTACCCCACTAACATCTTCCACACACCTACACTTGTACCCCACTAACATCTTCCATACATCTACACATGTACCCCACTAACATCTTCCACACATCTACACTTGTACCCCACTAACATCTCCCACACACCTACACTTGTACCCCACTAACATCTCCCACACATCTACACTTGTACCCCACTAACATCTTCCACACATCTACACTTGTACCCCACTAACATCTTCCACACATCTACACTTGTACCCCACTAACATCTCCCACACATCTACACTTGTACCCCACTAACATCTCTTATACATCTACACTTGTACCCCACTAACATCTTCCACACATCTACACTTGTACCCCACTAACATCTCTTATACATCTACACTTGTACCCCACTAACATCTCCCACACATCTACACTTGTACCCCACTAACATCTTCCACACATCTACACTTGTACCCCACTAACATCTCTTATACATCTACACTTGTACCCCACTAACATCTTCCACACATCTACACTTGTACCCCACTAACATCTCTTATACACCTACACTTGTACCCCACTAACATCTTCCACACACCTACACTTGTACCCCACTAACATCTCCCACACATCTACACTTGTACCCCACTAACATCTCCAACACATCTACACTTGTACCCCACTAACATCTTCCACACACCTACACTTGTACCCCACTAACATCTTCCACACATCTACACTTGTACCCCACTAACATCTTCCACACATCTACACTTGTACCCCACTAACATCTCCCACACACCTACACTTGTACCCCACTAACATCTCGCACACACCTACACTTGTACCCCACTAACATCTTCCACACACCTACACTTGTACCCCACTAACATCTTCCACACACCTACACTTGTACCCCACTAACATCTTCCACACACCTACACTTGTACCCCACTAACATCTTCCACACATCTACACTTGTACCCCACTAACATCTCTTATACACCTACACTTGTACCCCACTAACATCTTCCACACACCTACACTTGTACCCCACTAACATCTCTTATACATCTACACTTGTACCCCACTAACATCTTCCACACATCTACACTTGTACCCCACTAACATCTCCAACACATCTACACTTGTACCCCACTAACATCTTCCACACATCTACACTTGTACCCCACTAACATCTTCCACACATCTACACTTGTACCCCACTAACATCTCCCACACACCTGCACTTTACCCCACTATTATCTTCCACACACCTACACTTGTACCCCACTAACATCTTCCACACATCTACACTTGTACCCCACTAACATCTTCCACACATCTACACTTGTACCCCACTAACATCTCCCACACACCTACACTTGTACCCCACTAACATCTCTTATACATCTACACTTGTACCCCACTAACATCTTCCACACATCTACACTTGTACCCCACTAACATCTTCCACACATCTACACTTGTACCCCACTAACATCTTCCACACACCTACACTTGTACCCCACTAACATCTTCCACACATCTACACTTGTACCCCACTAACATCTTCCACACATCTACACTTATACCCCACTAACATCTCTTATACACCTACACTTGTACCCCACTAACATCTCTTATACATCTACACTTGTACCCCACTAACATCTCCCACACACCTACACTTGTACCCCACTAACATCTCCCACACATCTTCACTTGTACCCCACTAACATCTTCCACACACCTACACTTGTACCCCACTAACATCTCCCACACATCTACACTTGTACCCCACTAACATCTCCCACACACCTACACTTGTACCCCACTAACATCTTCCACACATCTACACTTATACCCCACTAACATCTCTTATACATCTACACTTGTACCCCACTAACATCTCCCACACATCTACACTTGTACCCCACTAACATCTCCCACACACCTACACTTGTACCCCACTAACATCTTCCACACATCTACACTTATACCCCACTAACATCTCTTATACATCTAAACTTGTACCCCACTAACATCTTCCACACATCTACACTTGTACCCCACTAACATCTTCCACACACCTACACTTGTACCCCACTAACATCTTCCACACATCTACACTTGTACCCCACTAACATCTCCCACACATCTACACTTGTACCCCACTAACATCTCCCACACACCTACACTTGTACCCCACTAACATCTTCCATACATCTACACTTGTACCCCACTAACATCTTCCACACATCTACACTTGTACCCCACTAACATCTCCCACACATCTACACTTGTACCCCACTAACATCTTCCACACATCTACACTTGTACCCCACTAACATCTTCCACACATCTACACTTGTACCCCACTAACATCTTCCACACATCTACACTTATACCCCACTAACATCTCTTATACATCTACACTTGTACCCCACTAACATCTCCCACACACCTGCACTTTACCCCACTAACATCTCCCACACTCCTACACTTGTACCCCACTAACATCTCCCACACATCTACACTTGTACCCCACTAACATCTTCCACACATCTACACTTATACCCCACTAACATCTCTTATACATCTACACTTGTACCCCACTAACATCTCTTATACATCTACACTTGTACCCCACTAACATCTTCCACACACCTACACTTGTACCCCACTAACATCTTCCACACATCTACACTTGTACCCCACTAACATCTCTTATACATCTACACTTGTACCCCACTAACATCTCCCACACACCTACACTTGTACCCCACTAACATCTCCCACACACCTACACTTGTACCCCACTAACATCTCCCACACATCTACACTTGTACCCCACTAACATCTCTTATACATCTACACTTGTACACCACTAACATCTCCCACACATCTACACTTGTACCCCACTAACATCTCCCACACATCTACACTTGTACCCCACTAACATCTTCCACACATCTACACTTGTACCCCACTAACATCTTCCATACATCTACACTTGTACCCCACTAACATCTTCCACACATCTACACTTGTACCCCACTAACATCTCTTATACATCTACACTTGTACCCCACTAACATCTTCCACACATCTACACTTGTACCCCACTAACATCTTCCATACATCTACACTTGTACCCCACTAACATCTTCCATACATCTACACTTGTACCCCACTAACATCTTCCACACATCTACACTTGTACCCCACTAACATCTCTTATACATCTACACTTGTACACCACTAACATCTCCCACACACCTACACTTGTACCCCACTAACATCTCTTATACATCTACACTTGTACCCCACTAACATCTTCCACACATCTACACTTGTACCCCACTAACATCTTCCATACATCTACACTTGTACCCCACTAACATCTTCCACACATCTACACTTGTACCCCACTAACATCTCCCACACACCTGCACTTTACCCCACTAACATCTCCCACACTCCTACACTTGTACCCCACTAACATATTCCACACATCTACACTTGTACCCCACTAACATCTCCCACACATCTACACTTGTACCCCACTAACATCTCCCACACATCTAAACTTGTACCCCACTAACATCTTCCACACACCTACACTTGTACCCCACTAACATCTTCCACACATCTACACTTGTACCCCACTAACATCTCCCACACACCTACACTTGTACCCCACTAACATCTCCCACACATCTACACTTGTACCCCACTAACATCTCCCACACACCTACACTTGTACCCCACTAACATCTTCCACACATCTACACTTGTACCCCACTAACATCTCCCACACACCTACACTTGTACCCCACTAACATCTCCCACACATCTACACTTGTACCCCACTAACATCTCCCACACACCTACACTTGTACCCCACTAACATCTTCCACACATCTACACTTGTACCCCACTAACATCTCCCACACACCTGCACTTTACCCCACTAACATCTCCAACACACCTACACTTGTACCCCACTAACATCTCTTATACATCTACACTTGTACCCCACTAACATCTCCCACACATCTACACTTGTACCCCACTAACATCTTCCACACACCTACACTTGTACCCCACTAACATCTTCCACACACCTACACTTGTACCCCACTAACATCTCCCACACACCTACACTTGTACCCCACTAACATCTTCCACACACCTACACTTGTACCCCACTAACATCTCCCACACATCTACACTTTACCCCACTAACATCTCCCACACACCTGCACTTTACCCCACTAACATCTTCCACACACCTAGACTTGTATTGCCTTCAGTAGTCATAAAAGACTTTGATATCAAGAAAGGTACTTGACATACTGTTAAAGTAAGGTCTTGAAAGAAACTGTTGCAACAAATGTCCCAGTTTGGTTTCATGCAGACAATGGGGTAGCAGTAAAGAAATAAAACTTATCTTTTTTCAACACTTTAAACATAAAACTATGGTCCATATTTACCTTTTTGTTTCGAAAATTGGCTTGTACTAAACGAGTCTGGTTGAAACATTTAGTAACAAAATCTGGGGTTTCTGAAAACTGAAAAGTTACAAATCGTTTAATGTGTCATTCTAGATGTCATTTCATGTTTTATTGTTTAACAAAGTTATCACAATAAAAGCTGGATGAGATTTGATCAAATGAATAAAAGCAGAGGGCTGTGACTTACTGATATAATATTAACAAAATCATTGAATAAAAGCAGAGGGCTGTGACTTACTGATATAATATTAACAAAATCATTGAATAAAAGCAGAGGGCTGTGACTTACTGATATAATATTAACAAAATCATTGAATAAAAGCAGAGGGCTGTGACTTACTGATATAATATTAACAAAATCATTGAATAAAAGCAGAGGGCTGTGACTTACTGATATAATATTAACAAAATCATTGAATAAAAGCAGAGGGCTGTGACTTACTGATATAATATTAACAAAATCATTGAATAAAAGCAGAGGGCTGTGACTTACTGATATAATATTAACAAAATCATTGAATAAAAGCAGAGGGCTGTGACTTACTGATATAATATTAACAAAATCATTCTCTCCCAGGGTGTCCAGGATTGACTTGACTGCATTTTGCATCAACTGGAGGGACTGTCCATGTGTACTACCACTCCTGGAAATAAATTCTTTACTTAATCAAAGCTACTATTCCAGGTGCAATCACTCTTAATTAGCAAGAACTTCAAATACTTTTGTCTCAAGTGCTAGAAAAGTATAGTGAGTGAAAGAAAATATTTGAAATAAATGTGATATAAAGCAACATCATTGAGCCTTACCTGTCAATTAGAATGATCATATCCTTTGGTGAACTTGAACCTTGAGTGTACCTAAAGACAATTTTCATGATTAGCTGTCAAATTAAATCCTATCAGTAGCTTTGGGCAAATGAAATCTAAATGATTTTTTTTTTCTTTTTTTTAAAAGTATTTAAGTCTCATTAGTGGTGATGTTGGTAGTGAGTTTAATGGCTTTATTAATGGGTTGAATTATGCACATTCACATAATGGTGTTTTATGTGCATTTTTTTTTGTTTTCTCTGATGTAAAATATGACCAGAGAAATACAATTTTCCCACTAATAAACAGAGTTTCTTCATAATTTATATGAATCTAATAATTAATTATCTTTTTTCAAAGCAAAACCCAACATATCTCAAAAATATAAAATGTTGAGGCACTTATATATAGATACCAAAATTAATTGTCTGGAAGAAAATAAGGAAAAAGGAAAACAATATAAAATCATAAATATGTTTTCAAAAGGAAAAAAAAGAAAACTTTAGGGAAAATTAATGATAAAAATATTTTTACAGAATTTTTCAAGTATGAAAAAAAAGTTAGATATTCATGTACTTCGAATGGAGTTGCAATCATATGCAAAATTTGAAAGAATCTGATCTTTAAAAAATTAGTTATGATATTTGAACACAAATCCAGAGCAAAAGATTTTTTTATAATGTTAAACTGAGTTATGTTACGTTATGTCTTGTTATTTATAGTTACATCCCTTGTAGTATGTTTATTGTAGTTACATCCCTTTGATACTCTGTGTGTAGTGTGTACTTGTTAGGCAGTTAATTAAAGATGAAGGTACATTCATGTACTTTGAATGGAGTTGCAATCATATGCAAAATTTGAAAGAAACTGATCTTTAAAAAATTAGTTATGATATTTGAACACAAATCCAGAGCAAAAGATTTTTTTATAATGTTAAACTGAGTTATGTTACGTTATGTCTTGTTATTTATAGTTACATCCCTTGTAGTATGTTTATTGTAGTTACATCCCTTTGATACTCTGTGTGTAGTGTGTACTTGTTAGGCAGTTAATTAAAGATGAAGGTACAGACAAGACGTGTCGTCTCAGCTGTCTAACGTGAACAAGAATTAAGTACTTAAGTTAACTCTGTTCTAATTGATAGAAACTAGTAATGTAACAAGCAATGCAAGTTGACCAAATCAAGAATTCATTGAAATGCAAAAATAAATGATTTACCATGACTGTCGACGGACATCATAAAGATCAACTCCATTCAATGGCCACTGGGCAGCTGAAAATGGTAGAAAACAGTTCAAAAAGGTTTTTAACAGCAAAGTTCCATGTGTGCGAATATAATTTCTTTTTCACAAAAGTATCGTGAAGATAATTTGTGAAGAGAATTTATTTTAAACAAAGGCAAACTTGCTTTTGTGGGAACATAGAGCCGGTATACAAAATTGTTTCATAGATAAGCATACTATGTCTCACCTGGAAAAGTGCGCATAAAGCCAGTTTGTGAACCAAAATATTGCCATAGAATCTCTGGATCACTATTAAAATTGTCTATAAATTGTTCATCTAGAGCAGCAGACCAGTTGAGACCATTCAAAATATCTATGTCTGAAACATTAGGTAGGGTTGGTTTCACTTTCATTGGAGAGACAACAAGTCTTAGAGACACAAGAGGCATAACAAGTTTTACAGAAATGTACTAGATATTAATAAACTTATACAGATGTAAGTACATTTTCAAATCATAATAGCATTGTTTTCTCTCTAATTATTCAAGTTAATATTATTTTAAAAAGGACTATCCAATCATTTCCTTGCTGCATTCCAAAATTCTGGAACATTCTGGGGTTTCTGGGGTTTCCACTTAGATGGTCAGATGTTTCATAGAATTTTGAACTTTGTTTTAAAATACTTTTAAATGAATAGTTATTTCCTGTGAGAAAGTTCAAATGTAAACTTAAGATAGTATACTGTCTAGATGAAATGCTTTTAAAAAAGGCATTTGTTATGAAATGACTACTATGCTAACTTTAGCTCCTTTGTAAAGCTGACATGATTGGAGCCCCATTTAATATTTCTATGAACATTGCTTCAACCTGCATTCTTTTTACTTCCTCCTAGTGGAACTATTGTAATCCTGCAAACACTTACAAATCACTGCATTTGACACCTTCCTGAGTTTGATAAACTTAGTTTTGCAATCTTGTCTGTCTGTGTATTTGTAACATATAACTTGAGTACCATTTCAGATGTTGATATTTCATATATAAGTATTTTTAAAAATTGGAAGTTTCTATCAACTTTTGAGCCATTTTGGGTAACTAGAAGAGGTAGCCAACTTACTCTACTTCTGTTCTCTCAAAAGCCATTAACTTATACTTAGATTCAGTATAATTTCTTATACTTAGATTCAGTATAATTTCATACTTAGATTCAGTATAATTTCTTATACTTAGATTCAGTATAATTTCTTATACTTAGATTCAGTATAATTTCTTATACTTAGATTCAGTATAATTTCTTATACTTAGATTCAGTATAATTTCTTATACTTAGATTCAGTATAATTTCTTATACTTAGATTAAGTATAATTTCTTATACTTAGATTCAGTATAATTTTTTACACTTAGATTAAGTATAATTTCTTATACTTAGATTAAGTATAATTTCTTATACTTAGATTCAGTATAATTTCTTATACTTAGATTCAGTATAATTTCATACTTAGATTCAATATAATTTCTTATACTTAGATTCAGTATAATTTCATACTTAGATTCAGTATAATTTCTTATACTTAGATTCAGTATAATTTCTTATACTTAGATTCAGTATAATTTCTTATACTTGGAAGGGTTAAGTATAATTTGTTATAGGCCTACTTAGATTAAGTATAATTTCTTATATTTAGAATAATTTTTATTTTTGAATGACCTCCAATATCCAGAAGTAGTACTTTTTTTATATCCAGTTTCTAGAATAACTTGAGTGTCATTTCAGTGAGGTGGACAACACATCTATATTTTATTTGCTGCTGTATGTAAAATGAACCAGAAGAGGTATTATTTCCTTTTTAAAAAGCCAACAGAATTGGATGACAACTGCCCCAGGGGACACGCCTGCTGTAATGTAACCAAGGGCACTCCACCATGCACCTGGGCAGTCACTGAGGTGTGTTCTACCTCACTTTTACAGAGGGTGATTAATGAACACTTAAGGCATTTATACCTTTTAATTTAAGTGCTAATTTATTGAAAAACTACCAAATACTAGACATTCCAATCTAAGACTGAACCACCATGTATTTTTATCATTTGATACTTATAGAATTGTTTGTGTATGTATGTGTGTGTTCATGTGTTGTTTAGCCAGAAGTATTAAAACAGTTGGAAACCGCTGATATATGGTCATATGATATGAGAACAAATGTACTGAGAGTAAAAAAATGTGTAGGGCATTGACAGCCAAACAAATATGTTGAATATGATATGAGAACAAATGTACTGAGTGTGTTGTGGGGTAAATAGCAATATTAACAGAAACTTATATTTCAACGCCAAGGGTAGACAAAGGTACAGAAAATAGTCCAAGTAATGTGACCTACTTAGGTCTTCTTTTTTTAATTGTTTGATTTTATGATTATTTAATTGGCCTTGAGTGGTCTGTTGTTCAAACTAAAGAAATTTTCCATCACGCTCAGGTGATAGTATTCACCACTGAGTTTGTTTGGCTCGTGCTTTGGCTCCTTCCTCTCAATGGTCCTTGATATTGAGGTCGACATCCCATAATTTTGGAGTCGTATATAAGGCAGGAATTTTCCTCCTCTGAGGCAGCCCATTAGACATCTACGGTGAGAGAGAGCCACGTACGACGCCATGTTGTATTTTCTAGTTTAAGCAGCAATTATCTTTGTACTCACTATTTTTCTGTTTCTCACTTTGACAACGTGTAGGTTGTGTTGATTACTTAGGTACCGTAACCAGTGTTAGTAGTTTTAGTGTGTTATTCTTTAACTCGTAAGTTGGGTCTTTCATTATTTGTATATTTCTATTGTTTTACATAGCTATTTATTATTTAGACTTGTATACATATTAGAAGGTTGTAAATTGATTAAAAGTATTATTAGTTGCAGAAGGTCTTCGTGTTTTTACCCTAGACATTATATCCGAGTCCACGGAGAGTTTTTGTTGTCTGGTAATCTTTTAGTTTCGTAAGTCCTCAGTCTATGACCATCCAAAACGAATTCGGGTATTGGGTTATCTTTACCAGCGGTAGAGGTACGTAATAGTAAAGACAGAGCAGCCAGAAACTAAAGGGATCCGAACCTGCCATTCCACACGGCACTAATCGCCCTCCACGCATCAAGTCAGATGTGTAACCACTTCTGCCAATCAGCCCTACAAAAATAGAGCTTTCATGACAGACCACAATCACAACTGGTGCAGGGGAGACGCGGGCTGGCTTGACCTCTGAACCCCAAAGAGTGTGACCGCCAGCCTCATAAACACAACAAGGACCATTATTTGACCACACAAACGACCCACACAAATAGAGGGACGATGATACAGACAAATAGTAGCTTCCTTAAATGGGTGTAAACATGTAGAGGGGGTGGAAGCAGGCGTTGTAACTGAAAAAATAAACATGTCCAATCCATTTAAAAGGATCTACAATTAGTTTGAAAGATATTTTGTGATGACTTTAAATAATGTCAATTTTAAATGATGTGTAATTATTTTGAATGGATGTAACGATGAAATGAAAATGAATAAAATTACCTCCATCATAGATTTCAACAGGAATGTGTACGGAAGATATGCTGATGTTGACATTTTTATTAAATCTTTTGATAAACTGGGTGGGTGTTTGGTCAGTGTCCATTTCTTTTGTGTTGATATAAGTGACATCATCTTTCTGAAACAATTATTATCTTCATCTAGATACCAGCTGAAAGACAACAAAATCTTTGCCGCTAAGTATCAAAAATTTTATATTATTACTAATGTACAGGGGTGTCACTCCTTTTTTAAGCAAATCCTGAAAATCAATCCCCAAATTTTACCAACCCTGAAAACAAAATTTGAGATTTTTAAAGCCCTGAAACTTAATGTCACTCAGCAGTTTAAAATAGACAATTATTTCCATATTTTTTAGACATTTGGTTCATATTATGTTCACATTATTATATTATACTGAGTCCTCCTTTAGTGGCCTTATTATCTTAGTAACAAAATTGCAAGCAAGAATTAAGTTTTGTTTAAAATAGTTTTCATCTAATGCAATTAAGTTGCCAAATATAGATCTACTTGCCATTAAATTTTTATCCCACTTGTATTCTGCTGCCGCTATCTCAGCTGCATCAACTAATTTCTGTGGACAAATACATCTTGATTACACTTACAGGTGAAGTGTGTGTGGACAAATACATCTTGATTACACTTACAGATAATGTGTGTAGACAAATACATCTTGATTACACTTACAGATAATGTGTGTAGACAAATACATCTTGATTACACTTACAGATAATGTGTGTAGACAAATACATCTTGATTACACTTACAGATAATGTGTGTAGACAAATACATCTTGATTACACTTACAAATAATGTGTGTAGACAAATACATCTTGATTACACTTACAGATGTGTGTAGACAAATACATCTTGATTACACTTACAGATAATGTGTGTAGACAAATACATCTTGATTACACTTACAGATAATGTGTGTAGACAAATACATCTTGATTACACTTACAGATAATGTGTGTAGACAAATACATCTTGATTACACTTACAGATAATGTGTGTAGACAAATACATCTTGATTACACTTACAGATAATGTGTGTAGACAAATACATCTTGATTACACTTACAGATAATGTGTGTAGACAAATACATCTTGATTACACTTACAGATAATGTGTGTAGACAAATACATCTTGATTACACTTACAGATAATGTGTGTAGACAAATACATCTTGATTACACTTAGTGATAAACAGACTCAAGAACAATAGGTTTGGGATGTAACTCTTTCAATGTTTAGGTTGATTTAAATTTATATTCTTTTTTTGCTACCACTGGCTACTGTATGTGTGAAAAGCCATGATGATCTATACATATTCATACCAATATACTAGAGTAGACAGTATTGCAGATCATACCAATATACTAGAGTAGACAGTATTGCAGATCATACCAATATACTAGAGTAGACAGTATTGCAGATCAAATTCAACCCACCTTGAGTGCATCCATCTTCTTATTCATCATCTCAGACAGGGTTTTGCTCATGTCACTAACCAGCTTCTCCCCATCAATTTCTTTGAATTCAATGTTGAGATCTGGCATTATGTCTTTATTATATGCCTAAAGATTACAAAAACAACCAGTTCAATCAATAATTCAATAATTGTTTTGAACAATTAGCTCACATAAAAGTATAAATAGAACAGGGGACATATTCACTTGGTCACAAAACCAAGATTGTATTCCAAATATTGGTCAAAATAAAAAATAAAACTATATAAAAAAGATAAATAGATTGAGAGAGGCCTAAATGTCTAAGTCTGTGATTGCAAGATGGAAAGAAAACTTATAATGGCCAGATATTACTAGAGTATAACACATGCAAATGGAGAAAATGTTTCACACAGTAGCACAAGTTTTCCCCAAAAAAGACAACCTTATTTTCACCAGATGGTAAGTCAGAAAATCAAATCCAGTATTGTAAGCATATATATATATATATATATATATATATATATATATATATATATATATATATATATATATATATATATATATATATATATATATATATATATATAATATTTGTATATATATATATATATATATATATATAATATATATATATATATATATATATATATAGGCCTATATATATATATATATTTTATATATGTATATATATATATAAATATATATATGTATATATATTTTCAGAAAAATGTCTGGAGTAAAAACCAAAAACGTACACTGTTAGTAGCGCCATATGGGCCCTGTTCGACATCCCCCCCCCATATATATATATATATATATATATATATATATATATATATATATATATATATATATATATCAGCTAGATGCAAATGTAATAAAAATTTAACGTCACCTTATGTGAACAAAAAAATCGAATTCGAATGTTAATTGTTTAAAACAGTAACGTAGAAATAATTAAAGGTTCCAAAAAAGGCCCCCAGTCTTTTCTTACTGTTCAGGCATTGGCATTCAGCGTGTGGGGGGGGGGGGGGGGGGGGGGGTGTCGAACAGGGCCCATATGTACGTTTTTGGTTTTTACTCCAGACATTTTTCTGAAAATGTGCCTGAAAGAAACTCTGTCATTTATTTGGGAAGGTTTCTAGCATTAATTTTTTTTTTGGATGGCGGCTCCCCGGCAGTAAGGCGATGCTGTTTGCCACTCAGAGTTTCGCAGCTGCTATCTTTGCACCTGGGGTCCGCAGCGGTCGAATTGCACATGCGCATCAGCCTGCACACCGATTGTCGTGTAACCCGGTGCGCCGCCTTAAGCTTTACGATTGGTTTTAATTAGCGCCATTCACTAAGAATACGGAGGGCTACTAACATTGATAACTAAATCAAATAAGGGGTGTCCTCAAGCGCCCTGAGATAGTCAGCGGCTACCTGAGTGCAAGGGATCAGTTGATTGCCCCTCCTGCTGGGTTACTACTTATTCAAAGATCAAACTGCAACAGGGGTGGCCATTCCGGAAAAAAAAACAGTGGTGTTGTTAAACTTTTAACTATCTCTGTTTTAGAAAATATGGTAACACGACTAAAAATACACAATTATTAACGCGTTGTTGAAACCCTTACAAATTGTTTCATTACCCTGGTATGTGGGAGTACAAATTGGGTTGCTCTTGCTGACTTTGAGAGTTTTATCTGTTCAAACACTACATTTAAGAATGAAGAAGAAATTATGTAAACTATGTTAGATAAGTTTGCTATTCAGTCCTGGGGTACCCCTTGCTTTTCTAAATGTGGTACAGAATTGAGTCTGCCCCTCATTGTCCACAAATTAAGTCACTCTTATTTACAGAAGCTCACTAGGTCTTCCCAAACTGTCCCTCACATTTAAAACCAGGGGGCAAGATCTGGTATTTAAAACTGGAGGCAAAAGTCTGAAAGAAACCCTGGTGTCTTGTTGTTTGTTTCATGCCAGCAATGTTCAGTTATCTAACCACATCCAAAGATGTATTTAAATATAGGTTTAAAAACAAAATGAAAAATAACCTTACCGAATATACCAAAGCTATATGTTGATTGGAATCTTGCAGATTAGAATCAAGTGCTGTGGCCCAACGAACAACACTGAAAAAAAATTGTTCATTTCCCATGATACAATATTAACATTTTTATATAAGTGTCTGAACAGGGGTATGCCATAAGGTAGATGGTTCTATTGTAAAATCAATACGTTGGTTAATGTTTTTCTTATCAGTAATATTAATTAAAAGTTTACTACTAGCAACACATTTTTTGAAAATTCTATGATTCTGGGATTATAGAATGATAGTAAGCTAATAATAATAATATGCTGACATTAGCTAATGACATGAAAATATGCTGAGATTATATACTAATGATATGATAATTAATACAGAATGTCTCAAATGAATATTCATTTTCCATTCCTTACTTCAATCAACACTTCTAATGTTCCAGCCACCATGCTAGTTGTAACAGATATGAATGGCTCAGTGACCTCCCTTTTAGGACCTAATTCCTTCTTAATACTAGCTAGTTGCACAAGTACATAAAATATGACGTCACAGGCTCTAAAGCTTTTGTGAACGAAAAAATATAATTCAATTTATTCGCTTTCATAGATGTTAACCGTTTAAGGGCATTGGTGGGTGTACTTTTCGTCATAAATCCACCAACTCATCAATTTCCCACTTTTACTTGATCTATACAGAATAACCATTGTTGAATCTAAAAATGACATTGTTTTGACCCTAAAATCATTATGTATTTATGAAAAACCGGGTTCAAAGTAGTGTGTACAGCGTCATTTGTTTACTTTTTTGGTAAAAATAGCCATTTTTCAACCTAGAAAAATACTAGAAGCTACATGGAAGCATAGTGTTTTTCACTTCAATGAAAAGGCCTTGACCTCCTTTCTTTATTTGTTCTAAAATTAAAGGACCACTCAAAACACTTATTTTAATGCAATTCTTTTTCCTACATCATAAAGTTGTTTATTTTACTCAGTTGCATTTTCGTATATGCTAATTTTTAACCTCAATTTTTCATCTGCATTCAGCAGCGGAAGCTAGTTAGTGATTGGTCATTTCACTTTGGATGTAAACATTCCATTAGTTTCAGCGCATTGCTAAGTTTGATCTAGTTTAATTGTTTCTCTAAGCATCTGTGAAATACTTACATTATTTTAACATATAATTATTTCAATTAAATATATTATTAACAGTTTAGATTAATTTGTGTGAGTTATCATAAGCAGTGAGAGGATTATATTTGTTTCTTTTTTGATAATGGGTAGAACAAAACACTAGCTAAAAATAGATACACACATCTAACTAAAGCAAGGACACGTCCGAATGCAACTGATTGCAGCTGTACTCAATCTAGCACTATTCAGAGAAGCACTGATGCAGATGCAATATGCACATTTACTAAGAAACTGCTGCAATGTAAGACTCAGTTTTTACAGACAGAAGAAAGCACTCTTACATCTAGTACTGCTCGCATATGTTACATAACATCAGGTAACTTCTTTCAAAATCTCCATTCTTAGATGACTATACACTCAAAAAGGACATAATTCTGTTCTCATTTACTGAAATTTTAAATTTCTAATGTACCCGAACAACCACAAACATTTGATCACTTTTGCAATAAACATATTGATTTAACTCACAAAGCAACCTGTTTTCGATAATTTTCTCTTCAAGGGATACATATGTCACATGCTGTCTCTCAAAAACTTAATTTAAGATATCGGAAAAACTTTAACAATCCTTAAAATCCATGTGTCATTTTACTACTAAATGTGTCACAGATATCTGAAATTATGCGCACAATCCTTGAGGTCCTGAAAAGGTTAAACATTGCAATTATGATAACAAACAATGGTTACTGACAGTTTAATATAGTAGATTCTGTATAGATTCTATTAACTAAATTATAATCTATAGAATATAGGCCTCTCATTGTCTTATGGGGGGGGGGGTCAAATTATATATCATTATCTTTGCCACTGTTTTTACTCTTTTGCATAACGTGAAAAAAATATTAAATACATGCACATTGCTAAAACATTTTAAAAAGATCAATGTCAAATATCATTTTCGTTTATATTCCTAGAAAAAGTGGATACATTTTCATAACAGGAGGATTGAAAAAACGCATTAATTCAACTTTTTTTTTGGTAATTTTAGCATGGGAGGTAATTTTTTTTTAAATTAACTCTTTAATAATTGAAGTTATTTTTTACTTTCTCGTATATACGAAGTATAGAGAAAGTTTTGTAATCGTGCAAAAAAAAACAAATCAAGATTTTTACTAATCTCGACGTTTTACACCTCACTGATACGGAAAAACATAATTTTGCAATATTGTCCGTTTGTCTGTGTGTGTGTAAACACGATTACTTGAGTACCGTTACAGCTAGGTTGATGAAATTTCATATATAAGTATTTTATCAAAATCGTAGATCCATATAAACTTTTGAGCAACTTCCAATAACCGGAAGTGGTACTTTTTCTACTTTGAATTTTTCAAAAGCCTATTTGAGTACTATTTCAGATAGATAAATGAAATTTCACACGTAAGTAAAAGATCTAATTCTCTACCTTCTGTCAAATTTTGAGTAATTTCCGTTGAACGGAAGTAGTAATTTACGCTATTTCTAATTTTTCAAAAAAAATGCATGTAAATTTATAAAGTACTAATAATATTACGCACTATTATGCACATCTTTATTTGGCGATCACTTGGTGCGCAATTCTTTTTTCTATGAGATTCTATTCTATTTTTAAAAGTTTAAGTAATTAAAAATAAAAATCATGTCTATATTCAGAGTTGCCATCCCACGTAGTGTTATATAAGAATATTCGAGAAAGTTTAAGGGAGATTACTCCCGGTTTATTTTTATTACTACCGCATTGATTATTATATGTTAAGGTTCATAATTAAAATAGAAAAATGTTAAGATTATTTGGGGTGGGTTAGGGGGGTCACCTTCATTCACCACTGTCCAGTCACTTTAGGTCAATTATCCTACCCAGTGCATACCTAGGTGTGACATTAAAGTCGCTCTACACAATTAAGGCATGTCCCATTGTAGGTGATAAAACCAACTCAGAGTGAACTTAACATCAGTTTTTAGATTACTGTTCTAAACAGAGGCCTACATATACTATTATTTATTATACATATATATATATGGCTACAGGACATTGCCCACCTGGATATTCCCTCCCCCCCCCCCGGACATTTCCCCCCCCCTGTCAATTACCCCCCCCCTCCCCCCCAGGGAATTACCCCCCCCCCCCCTCAAGTTAAAATCCTAACTCTAACTAGAATTTTATACCTATATACTACTTTAATCCAAACCTTAAGAAAAAGACCAAAACCTAAGCATCCACCTTAGCCTAAAACTTCACACAAAACCAAAACCAAAGCTAGACACAACCCTAACCCTAAAACTAACCCTAACCCTAGCCCTAACCCTAACCCTAACCTAAACCTTAGCCCTAACCCTAGCTCTAAACCTAGCCCTAACCCTAGCCCTAAAACCTAACCCTAACCCTAACCCTAACCCTAGCCCTAGCCCTAGCCCTAACCCTAACCCTAACCCTAGCCCTAAAACCTAACCCTAGCCCTAACCCTAGCCCTAAACCTAACAACAAACCCAACCACAACCACAAACACCAATACAAACACAAAGAAAAAACAAACAAAAAAGCAAACGAAAACAAAAACCTAACAACAAACCCAACCACAACCACAAACACCAATACCAACCAATAACAACAAAAAAAAACGAAAAAGCAAACGAAAACAAACCAAATCCAAACGCAAAACCAACCAAAAACACAAATAGAAACCCAAAGAAAAAAACACAAACAAAAACGAAAAAAGAAAGAACAAAAACGAACCAAATCAAACCGCAACCACTAACGCAAACCCAACCTAAACACAAAGAAAACACTAACGCGAACATAAACGCAAAGTGCTCACAGTCTAGCCCGGGCGGAATCGCCTGTTTTAGCTTAATAAACGACTATAGTACCCCAACTTATTCATAGTCTTTTGCACTCACTTAAACGAACGCGCCTGTTTCAATTTAATGAACAATTATAATACTCTAAGCTTATCCGTAAAATACCTACAACATTTGCACTTGATCAATCCCCGCTAATTATGTAATTATTTTTTTTCCCAACACCAAAACAAAGTAATAAAAAGTAAATTCTTTTCCACTAATGCAATGGTTTTATAACGGGAAGTAATTGTGTTTTCCTAATTTATCAAAGGGAAGTAAGTGCTATAGGACTAAATAAAGACATAATTAGAATTTTTGTAAAAGATGATATTTTTTTAAAACTTGTGTTTAATGAACATGCCGAAAATTATTACTTTCAGTTTGATAAATGAAAATTATTTCCCAAAACTTTCAATATTAATTTTTTAACTCATAAATTTAGACTATGAGCACGGTAATAGTCTAACACTTAAATCCATCGAAGTATGTCAATGACAAACAAACTTATTACATACAGAATTGAGCTTTATATATTATATATATATATTTATATATATATATATATATATATATATATATATATATATATATATATATATATATATATATATATATATTTATATATATATATATACAAAGTGACCACTCGGAAGAAGATTTTTCTCCCCAACGTCTCCACTTAGTCGTCAAAAGATAGCTCTGCGCATGCGCAGTGACCTATGGCTAGGGTTAGGGCTAGAATGAGGGTTAGGGTTAGGATTAGGGATAGGGATTGGGATAGGATTAGGGTTGGTGATAGGGTTCTGCGGTTATAAACACACGCATGCGCAGGTACCATCGAAAACATCGCTGCGAAGGCAAGTCGAAGTGGTAATCTATCGTTTTGGGTACGTAAAATTGCCGCGGCTATTAATGTACGAAAACGTTACCTAATTGTCAAGGCTTTAATAGAAGTGTATTGTGATATGTTTGTGTCAAATATTATAGATAAATGGATAATAAACCTAAGTCAATGGCTAAATATATCAATATAGGCCAGAAATTAACTTTAAACAGAAGTGTCTGCGAGCAAGATTTGCTATATAAACAGCAGCCATTTGTAAAAGTAAAATAGAGTGGCTTTCCCCTGAATCTCGCGCTATAACTTTATAAAAATAAAACTTAAACAAGATGGCTGCTATAGTAAATGAGCATGGTTGCATCTGTTGGAAAGATCGCTAGTCTTCATTTATTACTGAAAAGTTTTAATTCAATTGTTTAAAAACAGGTACATAAATGAAACAAGGAAACATTTTTGTATTTAAAAAAACATAAATCCTCCTGAAAATGTGAAATAAGTATTAAAATTTAAGGAGTCACCTGTTTTTCACATTACAGGTCGCAGGCGCTTTTACGTACCCAAAACGATAGATTACCGTCGTAGTTTCTCTCCATTGCGCATCGCCAGCGTATCTTATTCCGACTAGCATCGCCATATATATATATATATATATATATATATATATATATATATATATATATATATATATATATATATATATATATATATATATATATATATTGATTTAGAAATAGATTTAAATAAGTAACAGTGGTATCATGACAGTAAAAATTTTTTCACAGAGGGGTCCATGAGGTAGGGGGGTGTAACTCCACATAACCCCCCCCCCCCCCTGCCTACGCCACTGATGGTTATATACTAATATTTAATATATAGGCCTAGTATTAAATATTAAATAGAATCTAAGAACTAGATTCTAGATCTAAAACCTAGACTAGATCTGAAGAATAGAATTTTTTGAACTTTCTCAACTTAGTCTCTCTCTAACTATTAACTAAGGACTAAGAAGGAGTCTGTAGTCTAGAGATTTCGAGATCTATTCTATAGAAATACTAGACTACTAGATCTATAGAACTATAGAATAGTATAGAATCTAGATCTAGATTTCTAGATCTAGACTCTAGATCTAGAATCTAGATAAGATCTAGATCTAGATCTAGATCTAGAATAGAATCATTAAAGATTTGGATTCTAGCTAGATCTAAGTTGAGTATAGATTTCTATATATAGATCTAGATCTAGTATATATTTTCAATAATTTTACTTACTCTGTTTCTGTGGGAAATCTTGTTGCTACATTAGCGAATCCAACTCGAACCAGCAACAGAAACATTATGATAAACTTCGAAAATAAAACTTCGATAAAGCACCTCCATACCGCCATGTTTTATTAAGGGGCAATACGTGTGTACTGTGCCCCCGTCGCATCGGCGGAGGTGAGCACACGTCTGTGCTGTTCTAGCTCACGCGAGGTTCTGTTGAGGTGGAGATCGATACTATTTATTTATGCTGTTATTGCGTATCCCACGGGGCCTTTTTAATCCATGTATAGTATCCATTAGGTGCGAAAGACGACACAAACGCTTTTCAAGATTGTGGGTGTTTATGAAGAAAGAGCATCAGCTAGATGGGGCACTTGAAATTTTCAGGGGGGGGGGGGGGGGGGTCGGGTCGGACTAAAATTTCCGGAGGGGGCGGACACAGGTATAGACTCTATAGAGTCTATATAAATTATATTATGTTGGGGGAGGGAGATCAGTGTTTTTTGGGAGGGGGAGGGAGGGGAGGGGGATCAGAGCAGTAGAACTGCCTGATCCTCTTTGCTGACCCGCTACGCTACTAAGAAAGGTATGAAAGATGTTTGACATTTTTATAAGTGGAAGTGAGGTTTCGGATAGTTGTTTTTTTTTTTATTTAGATTTCTAGATCTTGTTATTTTGGATTAAAACTCCATAGAATGGCCTATCTCAGCAAATGAGGAGACATTCTGATAATTGTTTGTAATGTTTCTTCCAGACTTTTTTCTTCTGGGGGGGGGGGGGGGGGGGGGGGGGGGGGGGGTGGCGGCGTAAACCGCAACTCAGCAGATTGGTGGGGGTGAGGAAATTGCGATATGGTCTATTGCGCATGCCTGGAGAACGTAAAAATACACATTTTGTGTATTTTAATGGTGATTCAATTGTGATTCAATGTAATGTGGGGAGAAGAAAAAAAATAGAGGGATATATATATATATATATATATATATATATATATATATATATATATATATATATATATATATATATATATATATATATATACATATATACACATATATATATATATATATATATATATATATATATATATATATATATATATATATATATATATATATATATATATATATATATATATATATATATATATATATATATAAGATCGTGCGACGTCACACTTTTACATTATAAAAAAGAAATGTTAGAAAACGAATTGTAGATTGTAGACGTTATTTCGCGTTTTAGAAATCTGTTTTAATAGGAATTGATTAAAATACTCTATTTTGACAGAGTTCAGAGAAGATATAGCCTATATATGACGCAAAAATTTCAAGAGGATTACATCAATGCGTTGCCAATTGTGTATTTTTAGACGCGTGACATTGCTTTCTAAAACTGAATTATTCTGTGATCAGGGGTCATCCATAAATGACGTCACGCTTTTTTTGACGATTTTTAGCTTCCCCCCCCCCCTCCCCTCAGTCACACCTCGTCACAAAAAGCCAGACCACCCCCCCCTAAAATGACGTCACACCTCAACCTACAACCCCCCTCGAAATTGCAGTTGAATCTTTTTAAAACATCGATATTTTTCTAAAATCTTATCTAAACTATTACAATTTATTAAAACAGTTATCTAAAACGCGAAATAACGTCTAAAATTCGTTTTCTAACATTGCTTTTTACTTTCTCGTATATACGAAGTAGGCCTATAGAGAAAGTCTTGTAATCGTGCAAAAAAAAAAATCAAGATTTTTACAAATCTCGACGTTTTACACCTCACTGAAACGGAAAGACATAATTTTGCAATGTTGTCCGTATGTCTGTGTGTGTGTATGTGTGTGTGTGTCTGTGTGTAAACACGATATCTTGAGTACCGTTACAGCTAGGTTGATGAAATTTCATATATAAGTATTTTATCAAAATCGTAGATCCATTTCAACTTTTGAGCGATTTCCGATAACCGGAAGTGGTACTTTTTCTACTTTGAATTTTTCAAAAGCCTATAACTTGATTACTATTTCAGATAGATAACACACGTAAGTAAAAGATCTAAATCTCTACCTTCTGTCAAATTTTGAGTAATTTCCGTTGACCGGAAGTACTAATTTACGCTATTTCCGATTTCTCAAAAAACGCATGTAAATTTATAAAGTACTGATAATATTGCGCACTATTATGAACATTTTGTTTTGGCGTTCGCTTGGTGCGCAATTCTTTTTTCTATGAGATTCTATTCTATTTTTTTTTTAATTTAGTAATTAAAAATCATGTCTATATTCCAAGTTATATAAGAATATTCGAGAAAGTTTAGGGGAGATCACTCTCGGTTTATTTATAATGCAAAAGTGTGACGTCGCAACATCTGAAACCCCCCCCCTCCCCCTCATTACACATCGTCACAAAATTACGCCCCCCCCCCCTCCCCCTTACGAGTGTGACGTCATTTATGGATGACCCCCTCAGCGCCTTAGCTATATTGGATCTTAGATGTTAGAACGCGGTTTTGTTCACACTCTCGCCCAGACGCCCTTGTGAGTGTTATATGAACCCCTTCAGTGTTAGCATTATTAGTTAATCACCCTCCATAATAATAAGGTAGAACACACCTCGGCATATTTTAGCTATGGTGTCCCCGCTCTACCTCTTCGGGTTACTACAGCGAGTGACAACCAACCTAGAGACGCCACCTATCCAAAAAACGCACAAGTACCGTTGTTCTCTCCCACCAACTTGGCACTCACCACAGTTAATTAGTATTCAGCAATTATCTCTAATTCTAGCAGGCACCAATTAACCGACCAGAATGTGGACTGTTATAGAATATTAGCCAGATGAGTGAACGTTGGGTCTCTTATTGAGGTCAAACCTATTTATTAATCGTTATTCTGCTTTCATAATTCTATGATAGAATAGTTTCAAGCTGAATTATTCATAATAGGCTTAGAAAAAAAGCTGCTTAATTATTTTAATCTTTACAACTCTTGACCCTTTTTCATATGGCAGATTTCCGTATTTTCTAAAGGGGCGGTAGGATCAACGAGTTTTGAAAACTCTTAGAATATATAGTTGATAAGTAAAGAATGAAGTTCTGTTATACCGTGCTAAAATGTATATATTATTATATCTAATATATAAAGTCTACCGCCCCGCCCCCCCCCCCCCCGAACGATGAAATGTATATAGAAAATTTAACACCCCCACCACCCCCCCCCCCCCCGGAGAAAAGAGTCTGGAAGAAACACTGCACACGAGGCGGTGATGCGTATCTAAGATGTTGTGATGTTTTGTTCGACTTGTGTGTGGGTGTGTTTATGTGAATTGTTTGTCGAGTCGTCAGTTGAAAATTCAGTCCAAAGTCTGTGACGTGATGTGTTTGTGGTCGAACTGGGTTCTGAATCTGTTTGTACATATAGTTTGTATGTAGATCGCAATGATCTCTGATTTCCGTTCTCGTTTTCCTGTCTTTGTGTTTGGGTAGTTTATTTGATACTAGGCATGCTGCCCAGCTTCGCTTAGGCTTTCGAAAACATTGAGAATTTGAATGCTTAATTAATTCGCCCGAAGGTCGGTCTACGACCTCAAGAGTTATGAAGAGGTTCCTCCGTGGACATTTTTTTTCGATTTATAGCTCATATAAGGTACCGGTCAGTCGAGGTCAGTTTTGACCCCCACATCGTAGACTTTTCGGCCAACCGGCCCCCGTGTTCTGTCGCACCAAGGCAAGATCATGCCAAATTTGAAGCGCCTGCGGCGCCGGGAAGTGCCCTATCGGACACCCGACAATCTAGATCTAGAGCTAGATTCCTAAAAGAATTTTTTTTTTTAAGTTTAGCCCGAGCATAATAAAAAAGAATACATTAACCAAGCTGACTTGCTGTGTCTCGAACCCGCACCACCTGCGTGGTTTAATGTACACTAACATCTCCTCTATTTAGGCACCTTATAAAATACGGAGAATGAAAGACGTATTTTAAAATCTTAACTTACGCGAATATGCCTATTCTTTCAAATTAATTTTTTATCCCAAATTAGCCAGTTCATAACAAAGATTTTGTATAAAATAAATAAGTCTTGAAATAGTTTAGTCCTAATATAGAAATTTATTTTTGGAATTGATTTTAGAGAAGTTAGAGTCTAAATCTAGATCTTAGCGTCTACGACTCTACGTCTAGATCTAGTTATTGCGTAGATTTAGATTTAGATTTAGTCTAGATCTAGAATCTCTAGATCTAGAATCCAAATACATAAAATAAATTTTATGAGTTTAGGCCGGAAAAATTGTATTGTATACATTTCATAGTGTACGTAGATCTAAATCAAATTTGAATGAAATAGTTCATTTCTTTTCATTCTAAACACGGCAGATGACGTCATTAGTTAATGTATAAGCAATAGTGACGTCACAGTTTTATGCGTTCTTTTTCACATATATTAATGCTTTTCCGGTTGCATAAATAATACTGTTTCTCTATATTCGAACACGCCTTTATTTTTTATTTTTCTTCTTTAAATAATTTTGTGGTTATACATTTAAAACATCTAACATATTTTTTTCAACAAAAGTCCGTAAAAAGTTCTCGATATATCGCTGCCGATTCTGACGTGATGTCCGGCGAAATTTTTTTGCGGACAGAGAAAGAGAGAGAGAGAGAGAGATGTGCGAACGTGGGGATTTATATATTAGGATTATTGCCATGTCCACGTTGAATGTCTCATTTCTGGTCAATATTTGGGTCTCTAGCATTTTCATTGTTTGTATGGTGGGGCAATCGAGGTAGATGTGTGACTCGTTGGGGTTTCTTAAGGTGTCTGCAGTAATGGACTCAGTAGCGTGTGGACGCAGTGTTTCTTCCAGACTTTTTTTCTCCGGGGGGGGCACTTGAAATCTTCGGGGGGGGGGCGGTAAACTTTCTTCGGGGGGGGGGGGGGGGGGGGGGGCGGACACTGTTTAAAGTATATATTTTCTATATAAATTATATAAATTTCATTTCGTTCGGGGGTGGTAAAAAATTTTCGGGGGGGGGGGGGGGTAACAGATGTCCCTGTTACCTGTTGGCCAGATGTACTTGTTGGCCAGATGAACCTGTTGGCCAGATGTACCTGTTACCTGTTGGCCAGATGTACCTGTTGGCCAGATGTACCTGTTGGCCAGATGTACCTGTTGGCCAGATGTACCTGTTGGCCAGATGTACCTGTTACCTGTTGGCCAGAT